AGCATGAAAGCTGTGGCTACAGGAAGCAGAACTTCACCCAGCAAGCTTTTTCATCAAGAGAGGAAGTCCTTGCTCAAAAAAGGATTCATTTATCAAAAAAGGCAATTCAAAGAAGTCATTAAAATGCACAAAGTGATTCAAATTTGTTCCGAAATGGACTTTGCAACATTTAATATATGCATCTAAGTTCAGGTACCTCTATAGAGGATCATAGCTGTCCTTAAATCAGACCTCGTAACACCGTGCAAGAGTAAACCCTATGCATTCTGAAATTAAATTGCTGCACAGTGCAGCATTCTGCCCTTCTGAAACAATCTCAAGTAACATTTCTGAAACTCCAGCCTCAAGTACAGCTTTGCAGACAGGGCACATAAAACTGTGACAGAGCTCTTACTGGGAATAAATAATAGTGGCTATATCCAGAAAACAATACCAGCCCACACACTGCTTGATAAATATCCCCTATTAAGAAACTCCAGCGTTTTACAAGCATACCAGATAACTGGCAGTGATCACACTATAATCCGTTTTATTTCACATCAAAAGGTGTTTTTTCTCCTTTAAGGGGAGAGCCTTTCTGTAACCAAGTAGTTGTAAGCAAAGTTACAGATTTCTAAAAAATAAACCAAGACATATTTCAGCTGAAACACCTGAATTTAGATTATTATCTCACATGTTTAAACTTCTTAAGAATTCCTATCTTGAAGTCAGTGTACCTTCACTGAAACACATCCATTTTTACCCAAACCAGTCTCTAACAGCAAGCACTTGCTTACCTGACTGGGACACTGCATGTTGATCCAGGAGGCAAGACCCCACCAAGGACGGCTGCCTCCCACCAGCCAAGACCACCAAGACACAAGCCCTGCTCCTCAAGAGGCACGGATCTAATGGGATATTACACCCTTTAATAACCAACAGAACAGCCCTCAGATTTGCAGGTGGTCTTTGTTCTGGGGCAAACTCAGCTCAGCTGGTGAGCAAGATGAGATGTCTGAAAGCAGGTGGTGGCTCTCAGGAGCACAGGGCACCTGGAAAACCACGAAACAAGAGCAAGAAGCACAGGGAGACCCAAGCTACTCGGTGTAAGACAGTGCCTCTGATGTTCCTCTGGGCAAAAAACCATAGCCCTGCCAAGAAAATTATGAAAATAAGTGCTAATATCGTGGCATCTGTGTAGCATCTGAGACCGGGATGAAAAGGCGTGAAAAATACCAGGAGAGAGGTGTTTTTCTCTGGGAATCAGAACAGCTTTGTAATCTCATTGCAGCTGATGGCAGCACGATTTGTATCAGACAAGGGTGAGTTTAGCTCTTCCCTGCCACCCCACCCCTCCAGGTACTTTATTTATTTCGAGATGAAAGCAATGGCATACAGCAAAGCTGTCTCAGATAGGGGCTTTATCAAAGTATCAAGAATGATTTTCCTTCCCACCATTATACTCTGTTTTCTGAGTTAGGTAGAGGGCTTGCAGCAAGGAGTCAGGATCCATCCATCTGATATCCCTCCCTCTCCCCTGCTTTTATACAGAGGACTTAGTTGCCTAACTCAAGGCTCCAGTATGTTTTTGCTAGCAAGGCACCCAAATCCTGTAGATTTAGCCCTCAACATCCTAATTAAAGAAGCAGCTGCTTTTTATGGCCTTATGTCAGCTTGGGATAATTTTTCTTAGTTATTGAAAACAGCTGCTCTTCTGATTAGTAGACTGAGCATTTATTTTCCCCTTCTACCAGTGTCAAACTGCTTCATTGCAACGCAGACAGGAGACGTTTAGTTTTACAAAATAAATCTGTGCTAAGTAGAAGCAGAAGCAAAACAGAACAAATATTTTGGCATATTTTAGCAGTGGTACACAATGCGACAAAGCACATCCTCAATCAAGTCACTCACTGTTGTTCTGACGCGGCATGAAAAATGAGGAAAGCCTTATAAAAACAAGGGCTTTTTTGAATGCTTCAAAACTTCCCACAGAACAGTTTGTTTCGGTTAAAAGTCGTTGCAGCAGAACACTTCACCGAAGAACCGCCCCAGCAGTGAGATTGCAAATGCTACTGCCAAAAAAATGACCTTTTTCAAGGGAAAACGGCTGGGATTAAAGTCTCCCAGCCAAACGGTCTCGGGGATGCTACCTGGGAGAGGCAGGAAAGGTAAAGCCTGGACCTGCAGCAGGTGGAATCTGCTAAGTTTAGAGCTCTGAAACCCTTTGAGCAGGGAGTTTTCATACAGCCTTTAAAAGACAGAAGCAGCCTGCCAAGGCACCAGCCCCGTGAGCCTCTGCTTGTAAAAGGAGGAGGTGTGCACACTTGTTCGTGGTGATTTCAACTAATTTGGGGCAATTTTTGAGCCCAGCTGTGGACTGATCTGATTAAAGGTACTTGGTTAACAAACAACACATGGTTTGGCCAAGATACCGAAGTAGTAAAAATAATAATGTGGAAAGAGAAACAATGTTTTCCAGGCATTGCTGTTAATTCAATTTGATATTAAACAAAGATAACCCCCTCTCTGCAAAGATCCATGTTTATCCAAACCATCCCTCACTGTGCTTAGCACACTCGACTTTGCAAGGTACTTGTTTAATGTATTTTAGTTCAATTAAAAAAAAAAAGAAAACACAAAAAACCCAAAACCTGCTTCAAAATAAACATTGATACTTTAGATTAAACTAAAAGTACTGCTGGCAAGGCTATAGACCCTAAGAAACTTATGAATATGAAAGAGCTGTGTGTTATTTCAGTAACTTGTATGCATGTTTTTGCCTTCCCAGTCAGGGTTCCAGGCAGAAATCCCTTCCACTGGTATGTAGTTAATGATAAAATACATCCTTAGCGCAGGAGCCAGCAGACTACCAGCAAAGCCTTCCCATACCCATTATCAGGGTTTAGAAATCAGTGGGACTGTGTCATGCATGTGCATCCCATGTCCTTCCCCAGGATGTGTGAGTCTGGATCTTTGAACAGACCAAGTTGTCTCCAGCTGCTCATATTAACCTGCTCTCAGAGTACCTTTGCAGGATTTAAGCAGCTCAAAGTCTCCTAATCCAGCTGCCCCCTCCATGGGAATATTTTATGCAGGGATTTTTGGAAGGAAGCAGGCACTCTTCTATTTGTATGGTGCTGCCAGCTCCTCTTTTCCCCAGAGGACCAGGCAATTAATTTATGGAGACGATTAGATCTGGGCAGATTCTTGAGGGACCCTGAATTTTTGCATTGCTTTCTCAAGAGCATTTGTAGAGGTTATTTATATGAAAAGTTTTTTCAGCAGGAGCAGAGAAAATTGCTAGTCAGATGTCCATATACCACCATCTGCTCCAGGGGCTGTATGGGAAGCGACACG